CCTGCCAACACTGCCCCCCACCCACCCACCCACCCACTCTTTGAAAGGGTCCTGGTGCTACCGAGAACCAGGTTGGAGGATTCCCCCCTACATACATGCCTAGCCAATTGGGGGAGAAGCAGGCAGGGCCCAGGGGCCCCCTGACCCGAACCTCTCTCCCCACCACAGTGCACCTGTGGCGCTTCTCCGGCGGCTACCCCGCCCTCATGGACTGCATGAACAAGCTCAAAAACAACAAGGTACGTTGGCGTCCGCTCGGCAAACCTCTCTGCTTATTGGTTCCGGCCCAGCCTGTGCCGGGGGCTGACTCTGCCACCCCGTGGGACCCGCTGTGGGGATTGGGGGGCGGGGGGTGGGAGTCCTGCTCCCCAGCTGCCCTGCCCTGACCACCGTGCCCGCAGGAGTACCTGGAGTTCCGGAAGGAGCGGAGCCAGATGCTGCTGTCCAGGAGGAACCAGATGCTTCTGGAGTTCAGCTTCTGGAATGAGCCGCAGCCCCGAGCAGGTCCCAACATCTATGAGCTGAGGACATACAAGCTCAAGGTGCCTTCCTCCCGCCCGACCCCTGCCTGCCCCTTTCCCCCTGCTATAGTGCAGCTGTAGGCGCCCCGAGGCGGGTGCCCCGGCACGGAGGCTGGGGTTTCTGGCCTCTCCCTCCCTCTGGGCTCAGAACAGAGGTGTGTATGCACCTGGGCCCCTGATTGAGGCCAAGGGACCCCTGGAGTTGGGGAGACTTGACAGTTTCCGGTCTTCACCCAGCTGTGACGCTGGAATCCGAGGTGAGGGTTCATTCGATTTTCTTCTGGTTCTCTCTCAGCCAGGAACCATGATCGAGTGGGGCAACAACTGGTGAGTGGCCGTGCCGGGGGCTTGGGTTGGGGAGACCCTGCCCAGCTGCCCTGCCAAGGCCCCTAGGGTACCACCTTTCCCGGGGCCAAATGGCAGGGAACCCTGCAACCTCTGCCCCTCGGGGATCCCGTGGGAGGATGCAACCAGGAGGTGAGCATCTTCTAGACCAGTGGTTCTCAACCTTCCTAATGCCGAGACCCTTTAATACAGTCCCTCATGTTGTGGTGACCCCCGACCATAAAATTATTTTTGTTGCTACTTCATAACTGTAATTTTGCTACTGTTATGAATTGTCATGTAAATATCTGATATGCAGGATGTATTTTCATTGTTACAAATTGAACATAATGAAAGCATAGTGATGAATCACAAAAACAATATGTAATTATAGATGTGTTTTCCGATGGTCTTAGGCGACCCCTGTGAAAGGGTCGTTCGACCCCCAAAGAGGTCACGACCCACAGGTTGAGAACCGCTGTTCTAGAGGATCCCCTGGGATCACCCAGCCCGCAGCTCACTTCCGTCACCCCATTCCCCGACCATCTCGAGAGCTGGGGGCCTCGGGCTTCTCCCTTGAGGTGGAGCAGAGCAATCAGCCTGGAGACACCTCAGGCAGCCCTCTGTCCCGGCCCTGGCGCCTCCCCAACACTCTTCTGCCGTGCAGGGCTCGGGCCATCAAGTACCGACAAGAGAACCAGGAGGCGGTGGGCGGCTTCTTCTCACAGATAGGAGAGCTCTACGTGGTGCACCATCTCTGGGGTAGGCTCCCCCCCACCCCACCCCCCACCCCAGGGGCAGTGTGGGGAGAGCCAGTCCTGTGTGCCCAAGGAATGAGGCAATGCCTTTCCCACAGCCTACAAAGACCTGCAGTCTCGGGAAGAGACTAGAAATGCTGCTTGGAGGAAGAGGGGTTGGGACGAAAATGTCTACTACACAGGTGAGTCCCTTCTGGGGGGGGGGGGGGGGCTGGGGGTGCAGTAGGGCCCTGGGAGGTCATCTGCTAGGAGCCCTATTGGAGGATGGAATCTAGCCTCCCTTGACTACCTCCAGCGATGGGGAGCTTGTTTTGAAGACAGTGAGTTATTGGGGTTCCATCCTGGTGGCTCCCTGCACGTGGTCCAGGCAGGCCTGAGTGAGTGCTCTAGGGGATGCCATAGCAACCAGGAGGTCTTTGCCTCCAAGGAGTGGAGTTCAGTGTGTCCTGTGACCTCGGGCGCGGTTCTCCACCTCACTGAGGCTGTTTCCTCATCTGTACAATGGCGATGGTGACAGTGCCTGCCTCAGATGCTCGAGGGAGGGTTGCAGGAGCCGATTTATAAAGAGGGCTACACCCAGGTCCTGGCACAGAGGAAGCATGCAGCAAATATTTCCCAGCAAGTTCTCTGTCCCTTCGCTGGGCCTCCTAGGACCATCTGGATCAGTAGGTGTTGACTGACGGAGCCCTTTTGTCCTACCAGTCTACTACTACTACAGTTACTTTCTTGGCATTTTTCTATAAATCCCCCTACTTTGTTCTTTACCTAGCATTGTCCTAAGCAATCGTATCTGTGAAATCACTTTTTACTAGGCTAGTGTTTTTTTTTTAAATATATTTTTATTTCAGAGAGGAAGGGAGAGGGAGACAGAGATAGAAACATCAATGATGAGGGAGAATCATTGATAGGCTGCCACCTGCATGCCCCCTACTAGGGATCAAGTCCATAACCTGGGCATGTGCCCCTGACTGGAATTGAACCTGGGATCCTTCCGTCTGCAGGCCCATGCTCTGTCCACTGAGCCAAACCAGCTAGGGCGAGGCTAGTTTTTTTGTTTTGTTTTCACAAACCCAGGAAAATAAATGTATAATTATGAAAAGCGTTTACATGTTGCATTTCATTACCACCTAAGTCCTTCGATTTGGAAGACCCGGTGCTCTCCCTGGGCCATTCCAGGAGGGCGGTGGGCATTTCCTGTCTCAGCATCCCAGGCCTCTCCCCCTCAGAAGCCAGTTTCCTGGGTGAGCTGGCCGCGTTCACCTCTGTGACCTCTGCCTCTCCCCGCAGTGCCCCTGGTGCGACACATGGAGTCTCGGATCATGATCCTGATCCCTTTGAAGATCTCGCCTCTCCAGTGATGCTGCTGCCGCCACCGCCGCCTCACTGCCCTTCTCCCTTGGGGCAGCCACGGACAGAGGGGCTCCCGGTCCAGCTGTCTTGGTTTTCTCTCTGATCTGGAAGGACTCTGGGGGCTAGTGCTCAGCTCAGACAACGGGGAGCTGAGGATGACAGAGTTCTGAGGACTTGGCAGCTCTACCTGCCCTGCCCATCCCTGCCCCTGTGCTGGAAGCAGTTTTTAATTTCTTTGAATGAAGAACAGCAACCTTTTATGTCTTCTCACATTCCCCCCGCCCCCCAAAAAAGTTCCTCATCTCGGGGCCACCAGTCCCCAAGTATTACCAAGGAAAATAACAGTTTAGCTTTAGTTGCACAAAAGGTAGTGTGTCCAGTGGTTAGAGGTGGGGTGGGAAGGGAAGAGGTGAAAGCAGACCGGGCTCTCGGGGAAATTCCCTGGTCTCCTCTGGCCATCCACTTGCTGGACAGTCCGACCCATGTCCCTCCTGCTGGGGAAAAGCCTAGAACCGCCTAGAATTGCAAGAAGTAAAGGGAAATCCTCAAGTTAGCAAAGTCAGCCGGAGGTCCACCTCATGAACCCAGAAAGGTTGGGGAAATGGAGCTGGAAAGGATCTGGGGGCAGGAAACAGAATGGAACAGAACGAGAACCAGTAACCCAGAAGGTAGAACGTAGAATTCACAGCTTGGGTTTGAACTGCAGAACTTGGAATACAGAATGGGGGACATAGCACCTAGGTGATGAGACCACCTCGGAAGGTTTCCTAATACAAGGCAGCTGGAAAGAGGCTCCTCGCTTTCCCTCTACACCATGTGGTTGAAAACTTGAATGTGTCATTGCAGCCGTCTGTCTGTGCAGGGAGTCTCCTGCCCTCCCTTTCCCTTCCTGTAGGCAGATATCGGGCCACCGCCTGTGCTTTTCCTCGGTGACCTCCACACCTCATGAACCTCTGGGTAGGTTGATTCTGCCTCCCTTTCAGGAAAACTTGCGCTGGAATTGCTGACGGAACCAATTAAATGTTTACTATAAACCATGGTGTCTTCTCATCATCTGCGTGGAGCTCTGGTAGGTGCCCCAGGCGGGGCCAGCTTCCAAGGTCCAACTGCTGATTTTCCTACCCACGTGGTCCTGTGCTTCCCGAGCTGCTTCTCAGGGAGGGTCGCCCCCGTGGCGGAAGGAACGCCTGTGTAACCAGGGATTCGGGACATCAGTGTTTCTACCTCCGGATAAGGATTCATACCAGAGCCCTGAACCTGCCCGTGCAATTCCTACCCGGGGTAGAAAACACTTGGAGCTGTGAAACGATGCATTAGGACTGCAACTGCCTGGGCAAATCGGGCCTAAACTAGGGAACTGCTGGTGCACTTGGGGGGAAAACACGTGTAAGATGGGCTTAATGCCCTCCCTGGCTCGCTGCCCTCAATAGTGTGGGATGTTAGGGTGAATGTGATGGTTAACAACCCAGGTTATGGCGGCAAATCCACAGGGGTCCAAATCTTCACACTGCCACACTTTAAAATATTTTAAGTTACTGATTTTAGAGAAACACCCATTTGTTGATACATTCATCGGTTGATTCCTGTATGTGCCCTAACCCAGCTGGAACCGGCAATCTTAGCAATCGCCAGTTGAGGACCCGGCCAGGGCTCTACACTCCCCCACTCTTGTGTAATCTTGGGCAAAAGACCTATTCACTCAACAAATACTTGGCAGAGAGCCTACTAGTCGCGGGCATTAAGACGCTGGGGGGAGAGTGAACAAAACACACTGAGTCTGCTCTCGCAGCCTCACTTTCCTGGTTTCCCAGGGCAGCGTGCGGTGATGGCAGTGGGGTCCTCCCTGGAACCCAGTTGCCTCAGCCCCTGACGCCCAAGTCACCAAACCGCAGCTAGCACCGGGCGCCAGCCGCCATCGCAGGCTTTCGAGCTTCGCTTCCGGCTTCCACGCCTCGCTTCCGGCCTCCGCCTTCCGCTTCCGGGCCTCCGTGCCGCGCTTCCGGCAGCTCACTCCTTCCTTCCGCTTCTCGATGGTGCGCGGGCTGCAGTTCCCCCGGCCGGCCGCCTGAAGTGAGTGGAACGCGGGGGCCGGTTCGGAGCGCGGGGCGGCGAGGAGGGGTCCGGACCCTGGGAGGGCGGCAGGGCGAGGCCGGGGGCTCGGGGGCTGCGGGGCGGGCCGCCCGCCCGGGGGGCGTCCTCGGGCCGGAGTCCGGCCCGGGTTCTCCGTCCTCGGGGCCGCTGCGCGCTCCGTGTCCTCTCGTGGGCAATGCTGGCTGCAGCGTCCCAGGCCCCACGTTGCAAACGCCTTTTTAAACGACGAGGACGAAGGCGGTGGTGAAAACAGCGCCCATGTACCGGGCGCTCAAGTTTGTGAAAGACACGCTTTTCTGGGTCCCAGTCGTGGTTGCTCACACGGAAGCCTTTCGGGTCTTTTGGCCAAAATCAGCTTATACCATGTAGGACCGTTTCCTAAAGGTTCTTAATGGAGCCGCTTGAAAAATATGTTGTATTGATTTTGAGAGAGAGAGAAGCATCGACGTGAGAAGGAAACATGGGTGGGTTGCCGCCCATAGGCACCCCGACGTGGGGCGGGGGTGATGCTGACCGCAACCTGGATGGACAGGAATCGAACCCGTAACCCTTTGGGGGCCCGGGAGGGCGCTCCACCCACTGAGCCACCCTGTCAGGGCTGCATCGAGCCACTTTTAAAAATTTAAATTTGCTTGAAATGTTTAAGCCTGTCATAAACGTAAAACTCGGTTCACTTGTCATGTGCAGAAGGTTATGATAAGAAGTTAATATATTTAAAGTGAAGACAGGTCCGTGTTCATGATTCCGGCCTGGTCTCCCTGTCTCAGGCTCTGCGATAGAGTCTCTTCGTGAAGCCAGGAACGTCGGGGTTCACAGATGGTCAACGAGGGACGTCTGACGCTCCTGGGAGCAGTCGGCCGTTTCTAACAGGAATCGGAAAGAGTTGCTTGCTCCTCAGGTGCCCGCCGTCATCGAAGATCACGCTGTGGCCCCCGAGGCCCCGCTCCCCATCGTCTGCATCGCCTTCGCCCGCGGGGCCTTCCCGGGCCGAGGCCACAGCCACCCCTGAGGTAGGGCCTCTTTTCTCACTGGGTCTGCGAGGGGGACACAGCCCGGAGGAAAGGGTAGGGACTGGTCCCAGGACTCAGGGCTTCCCTAGCTCCACTCCCACGAGCTGCGGGCTCCCTGGATGGTGGTTGGTGACCGATTTGTTGGGGTACAGGAGGGGGTGCTGCCCACCTCGGGGGGCTGTGGTGACAGCCAGGAGAGAGAGCAGAGGGAGGATGCTCCCTGACCCGAGAGCTCCATGAAATGTAGGCTCTGCTCTTTTTTTTTTTTTAAATATATTTTTACTGATTTCAGAGAGGAAGGGAGAGAGAGAGAAACATCAATGATGAGAGGGAATCATGGATCGGCTGCCTCCTGCACGCCCCCTACTGGGGATCAAACCCGCAACTCGGGCAAGTGCCCTTGATTAGAATCGAACCCAGGACCCTTCATTCCGCAGGCTGACACTCTATCCACTGAGCTACACCGGCCAGGGCTAGGCTCTGCTCTCTTAAATGTTGGGGGTCACCAGGGAGTTGACGGCATCCCCAGATGAGATGGTGGCACGATAATGGGGTTAAGAGCACCAATGGGACATCTTAATTGTGTCGGCCGGGGCAAGTCATTCCGCTTTCTGATGCTCCGTGTTCTCATCTATAAAACGTGCTTGTTCTTATCTGAAAGGTTTGTATAAAAAGCAAATGAGAGCATTACCCACAGAGTCAAGGACCAGCTCACGGTGATGAGGCAGTAGTATCAGGGCCGTGCTGTCGGCCGGGCTGAGGCGCTTGGTCAGTGGTGTGGTGGTGGTGCCTTTACAGGAGGTGGAGGGGAGGAAGATGAGTTCATTTCGGACAGGCCGAGGGATGACCCCCTCGCCCTCCTTTTACAGAGGATTTATTGCGCTTGGGAGGGTTGGCTGGTTTTCTTTTAAATCCTCACCCGAAAAAAAAAATCCTCACCCAAGA